ACGATAAATGTACCTTATACTACTGGTAGTCTCACTCATATCTATGCAAACATGGGTGGTTCTGTCAACTTGAAGGGGGAAGAGATGTGTGAACTCTTTGATGAGAAATGAAATGATCTTGATATGATTATCAGCTTTCGATGATCTCACTGATCTTATGGAATTTAAATTCCTTAATAATTTCTATACAATATCTTAAAGACTGTGTAGATTTAAAGAATTTGGTTGATAAACGAATGATCTTGATGAGAACTCTTAGAACTTTCGGTCTATGAAATGAATTCAACATAATTTATCACGAAGCTGTCTAGATTAAAACGAGTAGGAGAGGTTTATAAACATTTTGACAATAAAACAAATGATCTTAAAGCGATCAGTTGTAATCGACGAACTAAGTATCTGACTTTGTGGAGTATAAACTGCATGCTGATTTTACTTTCAAAACTGAGAACGAAAAGGAGAATTTTGAGCACTTTGTGATTCCTTTGATTTAAACACATCTGTACTTTCTTTAAAACAAACACTTATGAACCTCAAAAAAAAATTTTTCGGAAAATAAAAAAACAAAACTCGTGACGCTTTATTTTTTTTATTATCGAAATAAACTTTAAATAAATAAAAAAAATTAAGCAGAAGAAATACGTCATTTAAATTATATATTTAATATGTTGTTATTGTCCGCGTGTAGGGTACTTATGTAAAAGAAATAAGTCGCATAGATTCTGCGCATTAATCTGCATTCAACACTAGAGTGATTATTTAAAATTTCTTTTGGCAACGTTTGTCATGTTTTTTAACAAAAAATAAATTTAAGACAAATATTTTTTTATTTATTTCAAAAAAAAAAAAACAAGATTTAAATGTTTTTTTCTTCATGTAATCTTGTTATATGAAACGAATGGAAAAAAACAACATATTTACATGTACAATATGTAAATTGTCGCTAAATAGACAACACTGTTTTAGAAACAAGTACCTGCTAAAATTTTTATGAATGATTTTTAATTATTAAGTACATATGTATTACTTTAATTAATATATTAAATTAGTTTTGTTTTTATTTACATATTTATTTTATTATTTACATTATTTATTTATTTAATTTAATTGTCCTCGTGTTTTTATACATATGTAATATTATGTATGTATTTCCTATTCTAATTTTAACTACGTGGGTTAAGGCAAAATAGTTGTGCATTTTTTTACGAGATATTCTTCTTAATTCTTTATTTTATTATTGTTGTTTTTCATTAGTTTCTTGTTTAAACTAAATGTTTTGAAATTTTATTTAAGTGACAATAACAAAAATAAAAAAATTTTATTTAATAGTTTGCACCGACATAATAGCGAGCTACGTATATTTATACCCTACACCACTTTAGTGGGGAGGGTATATTGGGTTTGTGCTGATGTTTGTAACGCAAAATAATATTGGTCCTATACCCACCTTAAATTATACCAATCGGCTCAGAATCATTTTCTGAGTCGATTTAGCTATGTCCGTCCGTCCGTCTGTCCGTCCGTCCGTCCATGTAAACCTTGTAATCAAACTACAGGTCGCAATTTTGAAGATAATTCAATGAAATTTGGTGCATGATCTTCTATTGTCCCAGGGACGAAGCCTATTGAAAATGGGTAAGATCGGTCCATTATTTCACCTAGCCCCCATACAACTGAACCCCCCAATAGGGCTTGTAATCCTTGTAATAAAACTACAGGTCGCAATTTTGAAGATAATTCAATGAAATTTGGTACATGATCTTCTATTGTCCTAGGGACGAAGCCTATTGAAAATGGTTAACATCGGTCCATTATTTCACCTAGCCCCCATACAACTGAACCCCTCGAATAGGGCTCTTAAAACTTGTAATCAAACTACAGTTCGCAATTTTGGAGATAATTCAATGAAATTTGGCACATGATCTTTTATGGTACCGGAGATGAAGCCTGTTGAAAATGGTTTACATCGGTCCATTATTTCACCTAGCCCCCATACAACTGAACCCGCCGAATAGGGCTTTTAAGTTCATAATTATGTTTAATATACTCATATCTCGACAAAAAGCTGCAATAACCAAGTTGTATACAAGACTTGATGACCCCCACGAATTCCATAATAATAGGTTCTCATATGACCCTAGCCCCTATGAAAAGCCCCCATCAAAGTTTCACTTAAATGTCCACAATTTTATTCAACAATAAACGGCTTAAGTATGTATATCTAAGGCAAGGTACAATTCAACTTAAATGCTTTATTATGGCAACTAAATCACATTATATTTTTGTCAAAGGTGTAGGGTATTATATGATCGGCCTCGCCCGGCTATAATTTCTTACTTGTTTTTTATATAAATTTCTTTTGGAATGACCATCCATACACTCAAAAAAGAATCAAGCCATCCGGTCTTGAATCAATCCATATCTGTTTAATAGTACGGTAATCCCGGTTTGGCTTGAATCAAGTGCAAAATTATTGAATCAACCTCGAATCAGCCAAGCACAACACTTTCATGTTGATTTTAGCGCGATTTAAGCCTTTTTGGGATCAAATTGATTTCAGAAAGTGCTTTATTTAAGACGTATACGTCTCACACAAAGATGAGAAGGAGCAGAGGATTGACTATTTTTGGTGAGAAGCAAATGATCTTGATAAGATCAGTAGCCTTTGATAAACTGTCTGAGCTTTCGGTCTTTAAATTGCACGATCCTCAGAAGTAGGAACCACATTATCTCATTAAAGTCATGGATAATTGCTGAATTAAGTCATTTCTGTAGGTATTTGACAACTAGGCCTTAGTTGTACAAGATCTCGAAGTGCTTTACGTGAACAACTGCCTTGACGGCTTTATTTCATGAACATATTTTCCATCCACAGGTTAAGTTTCTTTGACGACTCACTACCGCCCCTTTGTGCTTCTTACACGCAATTTTTATACATGATTCTGCCGGTCCATGTAAAAGTACTCGAGCTATCTAATCTAATTGCCATAGTAGCCCCGTTGAGGAAAGACTTATTTCAGTGACCACAAGGACCTACTGTGATAAGTTGAGCGTGTTTTACAGTAAACTCCAACACGCTCAACCATGAAGGAAAATCGTCGATAAATTAAAGATTAAGTCATTACCAGCTCTGCCAAACATTACACTTCATCAGTCACACCTCAAAAACAGAACCTCAGAATTCTTCTCATTAATCAGATACAAGTATTCGATGACGTGGATCCCGAAGGAACCTTAGCCCACTTACCAACCAGGACAAAGTCCTGGTAGTCCCGTAGTACCAAATTATCTAGTGTTCTGGTTCAACTCCATGTCAAATCATTTCAAGAAAAGGCCGAAGATACATTTGATCATCAACAGTTTATAGTACCGGCAGACTAGAGCTACCGGTTGCACCTCTTTTCCTCAGGCTTGCTGTTGCAGCAAAATGTGAAGGATTATCAAGGTAAAGTCATATGAACTCTTTTTCCCGGAAATTTTTGGTGAAACCACCATCTATGTAATGTTTCCTGGACATAGTTTCTAAAGAATTTTCCAATCGCTGTTTCTGAGTGATGTAATATCTGGGATAACATCTAATTACAGCGAAAGCCTGCCAATGACAGAGAAAGTGTTCCAGCGTTTCACTGTCCTTCTCGCATGCTCTACATTCGGCTGATTGCCATGACTAATACTGTACAGATGTGCTCGTTAACCTGTGAGTTTGTAACATCATACTAAGCTCTGACTTATTCATTCTGAGGAGGCTTCTCGTCCATCTCTCGTTGGGGTCTCTGGGAAAACATCGCTGCCGAGATATTTGGATCTAATTACAGCAAAGGCCTGTCAATCATCTAGAAAGTGTTCTAGCGTTTTCACTGTTTTTCTCGCATGCTCTACATTCGGCTGATTCCGACGACTAATTTTGTATTGTGTGCTCGTTAATCTGCGAGTTTGTAACAACATACTAAGTTCGGACTTTCTCTCTTTGTGCTCACCTCATAGGATTTCAGTGGTCTAAACCAAGTGGAAGTATGGGAAGTAATTCAGCTTCCGTCCTAGGGGTCACCTCATAGGATTTCAGTAGTCTAAACCAAGTGAAAGTATGGGATTCTCTCGCCCAAGATTTTAATTCAGCCTCCGTCCTGCTTGGGTAACACCAACGGTCACCCCAGAGGAACAGTTTTGCATTCGTCAGGTTAATTTCCTTAAGCTCCCTTTCCAAGTACATTCCCTCTTTCATTGCCGATTACGCCCAGTTATTCAATGCTTGCCACTGGAAAAGTATTCGGTTATGTCTTTTTTACAGTCCCATATGATCTTAAATTTAATCTTCATAACGGCCAAATTGCCTTCTGAAATATGTTATTCTTTATTCAATCCAATCCAATTTACACATTACGTTATAGACTTCTGACTGAAAGATAGTGTTCAAATTGTTCAATGTCTATACCAGAGACGAAGATACAGGATCATAAAAACTTAATCCTTTATTCCTAGGAAAGAACGTTACATACTGTAGAGTATTTAAAGAAAAACTAAATTATATCACGGTCAAATTTTATTGAGAGAGAAAGTGATCTCTTAGGAATAAGAGATTATATTGTAAAGGTACCCTATAACAAGTTTTAGACTAAAACAATTGAGTTTAGGGAAATTCAACTACAATCTTCTAAACGCAAAGAGTTACATATGTATATTCTCAATTACAATCAAATATTTATAAGTTCTTATAGGATATTCCCAAATTCGTTAATGATTCCTCACTACTAAATGAAAATAATTTCATTCGATAAATATTGCTTTAAATACAAACTGAAATCACCCATCTTTAAATCTATTAATTGTTTAATGAGAATCCAAAATATAAAGTAAAATAAAAACAAAATCATTATACGTTGGTGAGAAAATACAAAAAAAAAAATAAAAAATAAAATATAAAGAAGAAAATAGATTTCTTTCTGATATTTTTATAAATATTTCGTTTTTGTCTAAAAGATAAAAATATTTCAAAAGAAAACTTGGTGGCAAATAGTCTGATTGTGTTATTCAAACGAAACGGTTGTTAAACAAGAAAAGAAAAATCATTTCAAAACTGCTGTTATACAAAGTATACAACCCTAAAAAAACATAAATTATAAAAGATTCAATTTATTTTTTAAAAATAAATAAAGGAAACGTATATAAAGAAATTGTATAATAAATATAATTTAAAATACAAAAGGTGTGTAAATTAAGTGCAAATTAAAAACAAAAGTTTATGGAAATATTTGTAAAAAAATTGTATTTCTTTGTGTTGACAGGAACAAAAAAAAAAAAAACATTTATTATATAAGATCAGGAAAAAAACATGATTAACAAAAGTGACTGATCAATGTCATTTTATTGAAAAATGAAAAACAAAATATTTTTTTATCTATATAAAGTTAAAACAATAAAACATTATTCCTTAATTAAAAAAAACAAATTTGGTGTTTTTTAAATAATTACAAGATATTTACAAAAATAACTGCATAATTTAAAAATAATGTCAATTATATTTAAAAAAAATATTGTACCAAAAACAGCAAAAAAAATTTTATGTTTTAGAAGGCCACAAGCAATTTGATTGATCGAAAACCAAAAAAAAAAAAAATAAAAATAAAAAATAGAATTGTACGTACAAAAATCAACACTTTTTCAAAACTATTTTGAGTGGCGTAAGGTGGTTTTCTAGCTCTCCTATCTCTGGGTTAAACACTTTCTCTCTCTCTCTCGCTATGTTTTTATATTCCTATATCTATATATTATAAAAATATCATGTTTTTTCTTTGGTTTAGGTGTTAAAAATCTTTTGTTTACAGCAAAAACATGAAAAAATAAATTCCTAATTTAACATTAATTAAATAAATACACTCTCCATCAGGCATGGGAAATTCAGTACTTTAGTAAATACACCACTCATTCCTAACTTTTTCTAATTTATAAACTTCTAATAAGTTGTCAACATAGTAGTATATAGTCTATAGTCTAGTCTATAGTCTAGTCTATAGTCTAGTCTATAGTCTAGTCTATAGTCTAGTCTATAGTCTAGTCTATAGTCTAGTCTATAGTCTAGTCTATAGTCTAGTCTATAGTCTAGTCTATAGTCTAGTCTATAGTCTAGTCTATAGTCTAGTCTATAGTCTAGTCTATAGTCTAGTCTATAGTCTAGTCTATAGTCTAGTCTATAGTCTAGTCTATAGTCTAGTCTATAGTCTAGTCTATAGTCTAGTCTATAGTCTAGTCTATAGTCTAGTCTATAGTCTAGTCTATAGTCTAGTCTATAGTCTAGTCTATAGTCTAGTCTATAGTCTAGTCTATAGTCTAGTCTATAGTCTAGTCTATAGTCTAGTCTATAGTCTAGTCTATAGTCTAGTCTATAGTCAAGTCTATAGTCTAGTCTATAGTCTAGTCTATAGTCTAGTCTATAGTCTAGTCTATAGTCTAGTCTATAGTCTAGTCTATAGTCTAGTCTATAGTCTAGTCTATAGTCTAGTCTATAGTCTAGTCTATAGTCTAGTCTATAGTCTAGTCTATAGTCTAGTCTATAGTCTAGTCTATAGTCTAGTCTATAGTCTAGTCTATAGTCTAGTCTATAGTCTAGTCTATAGTCTAGTCTATAGTCTAGTCTATAGTCTAGTCTTAGTCTAGTCTATAGTCTAGTCTATAGTCTAGTCTATAGTCTAGTCTATAGTCAGTCTATAGTCTAGTCTATAGTCTAGTCTATAGTCTAGTCTATAGTCTAGTCTATAGTCTAGTCTATAGTCTAGTCTATAGTCTAGTCTATAGTCTAGTCTATAGTCTAGTCTATAGTCTAGTCTATAGTCTAGTCTATAGTCTAGTCTATAGTCTAGTCTATAGTCTAGTCTATAGTCTAGTCTATAGTCTAGTCTATAGTCTAGTCTATAGTCTAGTCTATAGTCTAGTCTATAGTCTAGTCTATAGTCTAGTCTATAGTCTAGTCTATAGTCTAGTCTATAGTCTAGTCTATAGTCTAGTCTATAGTCTAGTCTATAGTCTAGTCTATAGTCTAGTCTATAGTCTAGTCTATAGTCTAGTCTATAGTCTAGTCTATAGTCTAGTCTATAGTCTAGTCTATAGTCTAGTCTAGTCTATAGTCTAGTCTAAAGTCTAGTCTATAGTCTAGTCTATAGTCTAGTCTATAGTCTAGTCTATAGTCTAGTCTATAGTCTAGTCTATAGTCTAGTCTATAGTCTAGTCTATAGTCTAGTCTATAGTCTAGTCTATAGTCTAGTCTATAGTCTAGTCTATAGTCTAGTCTATAGTCTAGTCTATAGTCTAGTCTATAGTCTAGTCTATAGTCTAGTCTATAGTCTAGTCTATAGTCTAGTCTATAGTCTATAGACTAGACTAGACTATAGACTAGACTAGACTAGACTATAGACTAGACTATAGACTAGACTATAGACTAGACTATAGACTAGACTATAGACTAGACTATAGACTAGACTATAGACTAGTCTATAGTCTAGTCTATAGTCTAGTCTATAGTCTAGTCTATAGTCTAGTCTATAGTCTAGTCTATAGTCTAGTCTAGTCTATAGTCTAGTCTATAGTCTAGTCTAGTCTAGTCTAGTCTATAGTCTAGTCTATAGTCTAGTCTATAGTCTAGTCTATAGTCTAGTCTATAGTCTAGTCTATAGTCTAGTCTATAGTCTAGTCTATAGTCTAGCCTATAGTCTAGTCTATAGTCTAGCCTATAGTCTAGCCTATAGTCTAGCCTATAGTCTAGTCTATAGTCTAGTCTATAGTCTAGTTTATAATCTAGTCTATATTTTAGTCTATAGTCTAGTTCGTAGTCTATTATATAGTTTAGTTTGAAGTCTAGTCTAGTCTATAGGCTAGTCTGCAGTCTAATATATAGTCAGGTTCATAGTCTAGCATATAGTGTAATTTATATAGTTTAGTTTGAAGTCTAGTCTATAGTCTAGTCTGCAGTCTAATATATAGCCAGGTTCATAGTCTAGTATGTAGTGTAATTTATAGTCTAATGGAAAATTAGTTTAGAACTTTAAAATCAAAATTTCGATTCTCCATGCCTGCACTCTCTATACTTTTCTCACCTACTTACTCCTTCGCTCTTTGCTTCATTTGAAATAATCCAAATATTTTGAAAAATAAAACAAGACAATATTTTTCTTTATAATTTTTTTTTGGTGTTTTGAATTTTTGAAAATGTTGGCCCATATACTACACATACAAACACACACAGTCATTTAAATAAAAATAAAACCACCTACGCGAAGTTTTGAAATTTTGTTAAATGTAAATATATGAACGTTTGAGAAAAAAATCATAAAATTTTTATAATAAATTAAAAAAAATAAAATGTTTAAAATTGTTATTTAAATTGTTTTGTGTTGAAAGTAAAAGTATTTTTATTATTATTATTATTAATACTAAATAATTATTTTATTTTGTTTTAAGATTTAAAATGGAAAAATCGAATCGACCTCAGCGTAATCGTCGTCATAGTAGGTTGGTTGCTGATGATTTATGTTTCAAATATGATTTCTTGTTTTTTTGTTTTTTTAATAATTTTTTAAACAAATTGTTTAATGCTTTTTTTCTTAACAAAATGACGCATGTTGTTTTATTTTTAATTAATATGTAAAAAAAAATTTAAAATAAATGTGTTCAATAACTTTATGCAATTTTAATGTATTTTTATGATTTACTGCATAATCTAAGGCGCTGTATTTTCTTCTGTAGTGGTTTTTGTAGCATAATTCTTAGTGCACATTGGGCTTATTTGTATTGCATACTTCTAGGAACTTTATTAAATTAATATTTATCATTTTCAAAGTCAACCCTTACGGGCTAAAAATGGACGGCTAGGATTGAAATAAGGCCCGATCAATACGAAAATTATCAATATTATTAAGGCTTATAATGTACTAAGTTGTATGGATTTTGAGACTAAATTAGGTTTCAACACTGCACAATCCTCTGGGTCTAGAATTTTTTCAAATTCTCTTAGCCCGTATAATTAAAGATAAATCTGGGAGTATTAAATCTAGGAAAGTGTAATTTTCTTATATTTGTTTAATAATTAATGTTTGAAATAGGAAACATCCTGGAACATTTTTTTACCAGGAACTTAACGCTGTTTTAAACTGTTTAACTATATATTTAATGCACGATTTTTGAAATAAAATAATAACAACGTTTAGTAATTAATAGTTTCATTAAATTTTAGACGCGCCTGGCCACCAGAAGATGATTTACATTATCCACGACCCGCCAAACGTTTATTTACGCCCGAAATCAAGCGTATGCTTAAAGAATGGTTAGTAAGGCGACGTGAAAACCCCTACCCCAGTCGAGAGGAGAAGAAACGTTTAGCCATCGAGACTGGTCTAACTTATACACAAATCTGTAATTGGTTTGCCAATTGGAGGCGTAAACTGAAAAATTCCGAAAGAGAAAAATCAAAAAAATCTTGGGGTCATTTAATCAAACACTATAATAACAATGCCAAGGGAAATGTAGAACAATTTAGTATATCATCGGAGGACAGTATATGGGAAGAGGAACAAGAACAGCAAAGACGAAATCGAATGAATGAAAGAGCATTAAAAGGCGAGGATTATGATGATGAAGAGTATGAGGATGATGAGGATTCATCGTTATGTGATATAGAAGGATCTAATGAATCTTCCACCGATATAGAACGTAATGGCAGTTGTGGCAGCGGAGAGACACAAGTAATGGATAACGGCTATAAACCAAATTATTATATGGATACCATGACAATGAGCAAAGATCCAGTAGAGTTATTTATAGGTAGAGAAGTGGATGTTTGACAACCACGGCCACGTGTCAAGTAACTGGCGGTGGTGGTGGTGGCAATGATAGTGCAACAAAAACCAAGTACAAACAAAAAATGATGGAAAAATATTTAAGAGATACTACTAATGATTCCTTGCAAATAAATAACAATAATATTAACATACAATCGATGGGACAACCGCATGATCAAATGTCAGCAGCCTATGTTAATGGCAATAATACAACGATTATCAAATCAGGAGCCGAACTATCCAAATGGCTAGAAAGTGCGGCTAAGTTTACACCCAATAAAAACAACTATTACATAGAATGGAATAGTAAAAGGTAAATATCTTATAATTATTTCCTAAATTAAACATAATTAAATAAATTTTCTTTTATAGAAACAAGCTTGAGAAAAAACCCATTCTTACCAAAACTACATTTCTACCAACTAATAACACGGCTAATCTACAAAACTCGAATACTACAGTTACTATGTTGCCCCTACTATATTCCACCACACCTTTAGTACAAAGAGAAAATTCTCAGGATCATCATCTCCACTATCACCATCAACACCAGCAACAGCATATTTATGATGTTATACATCATAAGGATGAATTGGATGCTGCAGAGGCTTTGGCCAATTTGGCCTTTAATTGTCGTCAGAAAATGTTAGATTCTGCCGCAAATGGTAGAAACTCTCTTTCATGGCCCTTAAATGCAATAAGTTCGTGATTTTTTAAGACAGAAATAAAGCATTTAGTTTTAAATGGTATAGAAACGTGAAAGATTCTATAAGACAAAAGCATTCCAGCACGAGATTTTATTGATTTAAAGTGCGGAAGAATAAAAATATACAAAAAAAAACCATACACAAAAAAAATCCTAAAATACTTAGTTAGAATACTAAAACGAATGTTTATTATAATAAAATAAAACTAAATTAACTAATTAAAAGACAAATTTTTTAATGATTTTAAAATTATTTTTAGATTTTAATATAAAACAAGTAAAGCTATGTTCACATCAGTAACATTTTTGACATTTTTATCCCTGTCAAAGACTATAAACTGGACTATAGACTAAACAATAGACTAGTCTAAAAACTAGACTGTAGACTATAGCCTAGTCTAAAGACTAAACTGTAGACTATAGCCTAGAATATAGACTATAGACTAGACTATAGACTAGACTATAGACTAGACTATAGACTAGACTATAGACTAGACTATAGACTAGACTATAGACTAGACTAGACTATAGACTAGACTATAGACCAGACTATATACCAGACTATAGACTAAACTATAGACTAGACTATTGACTAGACTATAGACTAGACTATAGACTAGACTATAGACTAGACTGTAGACTAGACTATAGACTAGACTATAGACTAGACTATAGACTAGACTATAGACTAGACTATAGACTAGACTATAGACTAGACTATAGACTAGACTATAGACTAGACTATAGACTAGACTATAGACTAGACTATAGACTAGACTATAGACTAGACTATAGACTAGACTATAGACTAGACTATAGACTAGACTATAGACTAGACTATAGACTAGACTATAGACTAGACTATAGACTAGACCATAGACTAGACTATAGACTAGACTATAGACTAGACTATAGACTAGACTATAGACTAGACTATAGACTAGACTATAGACTAGACTATAGACTAGACTATTGACTAGACTATAGACTAGACTATAGACTAGACTATAAACTAGACTATAGACTAGACTATAGACTAGAATATAGACTAGAATATAGACTAGACTATAGACTAGACTATAGACTAGACTATAGACTAGACTATAGACTAGACTATAGACTAGACTATAGACTAGACTATAGACTAGACTATAGACTAGACTATAGACTAGACTATAGACTAGACTATAGACTAGACTATAGACTAGACTATAGACTAGACTATAGACTAGACTATAGACTAGACTAGACTATAGACTTGACTATAGACTAAAATATAGACTAGACTGTAGACTAAACTAGACTATAGACTAGTCTATAGACTAGACTATAGACTAGACTATAGACTAGTCTATAGACTAGACTATAGACTAGACTATAGACTAGTCTATAGACTAGACTATAGACTAGACTATAGACTAGACTATAGACTAGACTATAGACTAGACTATAGACTAGACTATAGACTAGACTATAGACTAGACTATAGACTAGACTATAGACTAGACTATAGACTAGACTATAGACTAGACTATAGACTAGACTATAGACTAGACTATAGACTAGACTATAGACTAGACTATAGACTAGACTATAGACTAGACTATAGACTAGACTATAGACTAGACTATAGACTAGACTGTTGACTAGACTATAGACTAGACTATAGACTAGACTATAGACTAGACTATAGACTAGACTATAGACTAGACTATAGACTAGACTATAGACTAGACTATAGACTAGACTATAGACTAGACTATAGACTAGACTATAGACTAGACTATAGACTAGACTATAGACTAGACTATAGACTAGACTATAGACTAGACTATAGACTAGACTATAGACTAGACTATAGACTAGACTATAGACTAGACTATAGACTAGACTATAGACTAGACTATAGACTAGACTATAGACTAGTCTATAGACTAGACTATAGACTAGACTATAGACTAGAGTATAGACTAGACTATAGACTTGACTATAGACTAAAATATAGACTAAACTGTAGACTAAACTAGACTATAGACTAGTCTATAGACTAGACTATAGACTAGACTATAGACTAGACTATAGACTAGACTATAGACTAGACTATAGACTAGACTATAGACTAGACTGTAGACTGGACTATAGACTGGACTATATACTAGACTATAGACTGGACTATAGACTAGACTATAGACTAGACTATAGACTAGATTATACACTAGATTATACACTAGACTATAGACCAGACTGGAATATAGACTAGATTATTGATTAGACTAATGACTAGACTATAGATTAGGCAATAAATTGGGCTGTAGTCTTAACTCTAGACTAGACTATAGACTAGCCTGTAGACCAGACTATAGATAAAACTTTTGTGGGTCTACGATTCGTATTTCGAATGACAAAATCAATAAACAAATGGGGGTTTTATAAGATGGTGATATAAAAATGAGCTCTGAAATGAACTCTATTATCTAAAAGTTTTGAGGGCAATCAAAATTTCAAAAACCATGAATATCGTTTTAAATGAGCGTTGTTTTAAAAAATTTAATTGGATCTGAGATCATATGGTTTGTGAGCTAAAAATAACATTTAAAAACGTGTTTAATGTAGCACGATTTGGATTTAATATTCCTAAAAAGTGTATTGTTTATTCATATAAGATTTCTGTCTTGTTTATAACATTTAAAAAATTATAAATGTTTCGGAAGGTATTTTCTTATACAAAATAAAATTGTGGAAAACTGACTCACCTTTTATTTTAAAATAGTCTTCTTTTTTGCTTGAATCATCTTATTTTGATAGATTGAAATTATTGCAAATACTTTGATAACCGATTTTTAACCGACATTTGAAAACGTGTTGATGTTAAAATGCCATTAAAAATTACACTACCGTTGTCAAAATAATAACGAAATTTTTACTCAAACACAAATTTAAATTAACCTCTTACCGAATACACAATGGAATTGTTTTTCCTTTGATTACCCTAAAGACGAATTCAAAATAACAGATTACCGAATATAAATAACGATAAGACGAAAGCTCTAAAGAAAATTGGATTTTTTTAACCTTAACGAAAGAAATTGCAATTTAAGAAATAATTTAACACCGTGGCAATTATTTATATTAAAAGGAGGAATTTAAAAAAAATTATTTTATTGATTTTCCCGATAACTTTAAAACTTTAACTTTTTTTAGAAAACACTACCGACATTTTGGCATTCTCACGCTCGACTTTACATTAAACCGCTCGTTACATTCATCGAAAGAGAAACACTGCAATAGAAAAAATTAATAAAATTTATTAAAATCAAAGCTAATATACGTAATTAGATAATTTAAATAAAACAATTTTTAAACCTTTATTATTTCATATTTCGAAGGAGTTTGATTTGATTAAAAAAAGTTATAGATTTTTGTCCATATAACAATGAAAGAAAAAATTGAAAAACGTCAAAACCCTTTGAGTAAAGTCTTCTCTGAATCTGCATCTTATCTCAGGTCTCCATCAGATAATGGATTAAAACTAAAAACAAAAAATTCCATTTTGTGACAAGCGTATAGTAATCAAACCTTAATTTGTTATTTTAAAGTTTTTTTTTTTTATTATTCTTTCAAACATTTTAAAAAAACTAACAAACAAATCATATTGTATGCTTAACAATCTCTTACTATTCCTTAGTTCCTTCTTCTTTATTCCCCGCTTCCTTATCGGCATCACTAACAGACGACTCTCCCGACTTAGCATAGACATCCAAAACATTTACGAAATTGTTTTGATGGGCTTCTAAATTTTGCACCAATGTACTGGCGGCCGTATTAAGAGTATGAACTAATTCAGCTTGTGCCGACTGCAGACTAGGCAATTGAGCATAATTCATAAATTCATTGCGACTTAAGAGGGTGTTGTCAACAATACCCGCCAATAGTAACATTTGAGGTACTTTACGGGTAATTTTCAGCAGTTGTGAGACCTTTTGTTCTGGTGAAAATACTATGCATTGTTGTGATTCAAATAGGGGAAGAATGGCTTCGTAACGGGAACCCTCTACTGCCTTACGCACTAGTTTGGGACCATACATTTTCAATTGCATATTTTGTTTGTGCAATTGTACTCTTACATCAAAGAAGTCATCGGAATTTATGGAATTCAAATGAAAAATGGCCACCATTTTTGAGTGATCCAACCAGTTGCGCACTTCTCTGGAAATAATATCATTGTAGGGATTCTCCTCTACAGTGCGTGTACGTTTCTCAAAACAAGTACTGGTCTTAGGAGGCTCAGGATAGCGGGGTGTTGTTACCGCCACAACAAGAGCACGTTCATAGTGTGGTTTCTTTGGGCGTTGTATGTTAATTTTACCGCGATAACGTTGAAATTGCAGCAGAGGAGAACGTTTGATCTGTTGAAAAAGTTCTGCCCAAAGGTGCACCAAAAAAAGGAAAATATTGTGGTTATACAACAGAGATTTGTTTATAGGTATGACCGGGAAATCTTTACACTTACCAGTTTTTATTAACTGGGACATATTGTTAGTTGTTTACTTGTTAGTTAAGTTACGACTTTAAGTTAAATATTAGCAATTTTTTAATGTTTTATTTAAAATTTATAAAAAGATTAAGCGAACAATTGTAGAATTGCTCGTGTTTTCGTTTGATTTGTGTGTGTGTAAAGCAAACTGTCAAAAACAGCTGTTTTGCTTTTATATCAATCACAATTATATTTCTCTGTTATTCACAATCAATTTTCCAATAGGAAACTTTAGTAGAGAATAAAAAGCAATCCACAAGTTGGAATACTTCAGGAGTAAAAGATGTACGGAAGTCATTCATCACACCTCAATATTCTGCAAATATTTCCCGCAAGAGTTCTGGCTAACAAATAAGCCGGAACTCATATTTTCCACAAACATGTCACCTGTATCTATTGGCAATTGTCCTCTGAGACAAAACAATAACAAATATGTATGTATGCCAATGATCATTAAGCTAAATACAAGAACAGAAACAAATGCAGCAACTGCTCCATGTACAAAATATTCAATAAACAAAAAATTAACAATATTAACAACAACCGGATGCTACTTTTTCTCTACTACACATCTATCATCAACACTTGACCTGCCACAACATTTAACATAGTCCACCATCTTTTTATTTCCTTTTATTAGTAAAATCTACAAGTTATTCACACAAAATACGCCATCTTACCTTTAGCACTTATTTTGCTTTTTTTCTATCAACACATGACGACATATTATTACTTGTATAAGTTTTAATTTAATTTAACACTTATATTACCAAAATTAAATTTATTTATCACTTTTTAATTAAAAAATACACATTCTTTTAAGACCGACACTTCTTTAGCATTACTTCGCGCACTTTTTAATAGATACTAAAAAAGAAAACGAATTCAATATGTCATTTCACTTTGAACTAAGCTTTTTTCCTAGAGATGGTAAATTATGATTTGACAGTTGATATTAGGGTGACCAGATGTATGCACCTATTTGGCAGTTATTTTAAATGCAAATTAAAGCATTTATTTTTACAAATAAGTTTGTTTGCTAAAATTTAACTTAAAAACTAGTCCTTTAATAAGAAAATAAAAGTTTTCGAATGATATTAGGTTAGGTTAAGAAGGAATATGCACAAAAAACTGCAACTCCACTTGGAGATTGTAATTCAAATAAGGTGAAGAAGCAAGTATTTATACTGCAAGTTCAATATTTATAGCGTCAACATTGATACAAACTATTGATTTAAAAAATAAGAAGTGGGTTCTATAAATCGAATTATGAACAATCGACAGAAAATTCGAAAGCTGTTTAAAATCTAACGAAAAATTAAAAAATAAACGTTTTTTATTTTTAATGCTGGAAACATTAAATTTTTAGCATGAACATTATAAAAGAAGTCGAAAAGTGAACAAAGTCAGTATTAAAAAAGTTACAATTGTTAAAATAAAAAACAAAACGTTGTAGATTACAATAAGTCGACTCTTTGTTTCAAATGTAGAACTCTAATGCATAATGTTCTATAAATCGACTTTAGAACAATCGACTTTTTTCGATTGACAATAAGTCGACTCTATGTTTCAAATGTAGAACTCTAATACATAATGTTCTATAAATCGACTTTAGAACAATCGACTTTTTTCTAATTGATAAGTTATTATTGACATTTGACATAGTCAACAAAACATTGTCAAATACATACATACATACATACATATGTATGTATGCGACTGCTCCTTAAGCTAGATACACGAAAAGACTTAACTACAACTGCATCAAAAACAACAACAATTGCATCAACGCACCTACTAGATATTTTCACAAAAAATTAACCAAGGCAAATTAATACCAATTAAATTAGTAACAACCGGATAATATTTTTCCACTTAAGTATGCAAAACACTACCACCAACACTTGACCAGCCCCAATAGCTAACAGAGGCAACCATTTTTTTATATTTTTTTTTTTTTATTAGCTAAATCTACAAATTATTCACAAAATTACGCATCTTACCTTTTAAAACTTATTTTATTATTTTTAAGTATTTACAAGCAAACAACTGTTGAATTTTATCACTTTTATAACTTTAACATTTAAATTAATTTATATTCTTATATTTTGCATTTTTTAATTAATAAATATATTTTCTTTTAAGGACTAATATTTCCTCGATGTTTCTTCACGCACTGTTTAGAGTAAACTAAAAACTATGCGAATTTAAGAAGTTAATTCGCCTTAAATGAAGCTTTTTCTTTAGAGTTGTTAGACTATTGTGATTCAACAGTTTATTTAGATCGGATATGCTTATGACGTTTGTTATTGTAGTTGTATCAGTGATGCATGCAAAGTCAGTGTGGCTGAATTGATAGACAAACAGTGATACAGACCAACAGACTGACAGATAGATAGATAGATAGATAGATAGATAGATAGATAGATAGATAGATAGATAGATAGATAGATAGATAGATAGATAGATTAGATAGATAGATAGATAGATAGATAGATAGATAGATAGATAGATAGATAGATAGATAGATAGATAGATAGATAGATAGATAGATAGATAGATAGATAGATAGATAGATAGATAGATAGATAGATAGATAGATAGATAGATAGATAGATAGATAGATAGATAGATAGATAGATAGATAGATAGATAGATAGATAGATAGATAGATAGATAGATAGATAGATAGATAGATAGATAGATAGATAGATAGATAGATAGATAGATAGATAGATAGATAGATAGATAGATAGATAGATAGATAGATAGATAGATAGATAGATAGATAGATAGATAGATAGATAGATAGATAGATAGATAGATAGATAGATAGATAGATAGATAGATAGATAGATAGATAGATAGATAGATAGATAGATAGATAGATAGATAGATAGATAGATAGATAGATAGATAGATAGATAGATAGATAGATAGATAGATAGATAGATAGATAGATAGATAGATAGATAGATAGATAGATAGATAGATAGATAGATAGATAGATAGATAGATAGATAGATAGATAGATAGATAGATAGATAGATAGATAGATAGATAGATAGATAGATAGATAGATAGATAGATAGATAGATAGATAGATAGATAGATAGATAGATAGATAGATAGATAGATAGATAGATAGATAGATAGATAGATAGATAGATAGATAGATAGATAGATAGATAGATAGATAGATAGATAGATAGATAGATAGATAGATAGATAGATAGATAGATAGATAGATAGATAGATAGATAGATAGATAGATAGATAGATAGATAGATAGATAGATAGATAGATAGATAGATAGATATAGATAGATAGATAGATAGATAGATAGATAGATAGATAGATAGATAGATAGATATATAGATAGATAGATAGATAGATAGATAGATAGATAGATAGATAGATAGATAGATAGATAGACGATAGATAGATAGATAGATCAGATAAGATAGATAGATAGATAGATAGATCGATAGATAGGATAGATAGATAGATAGATAGATAGATAGATAGATAGATAGATAGATAGATAGATAGATAGATAGATAGTAGATAGATAGATAGATAGATAGATAGTAGATAGATAGATAGATAGATAGATAGCATAGTAGATAGATAGATAGATAGATAGTATATAGATAGATAGATATATAGATAGATAGATAGATATAGATAGATAGATCGATATAGAGATAGATGATATATAGATATATAGATAGATATATAGATATATAGATAGATAGATGATGATAGATAGATAGATAGATAGATAGATAGATAGATAGATAGATAGATAGATAGATAGATAGATAGATAGATAGATAGATAGATAGATAGATAGATAGATAGATAGATAGATAGATAGATAGATAGATAGATAGATAGATAGATAGATAGATAGATAGATAGATAGATAGATAGATAGATAGATAGATAGATAGATAGATAGATAGATAGATAGATAGATAGATAGATAGATAGATAGATAGATAGATAGATAGATAGATAGATAGATAGATAGATAGATAGATAGATAGATAGATAGATAGATAGATAGATAGATAGATAGATAGATAGATAGATAGATAGATAGATAGATAGATAGATAGATAGATAGATAGATAGATAGATAGATAGATAGATAGATATATAGATAGATAGATAGATAGATAGATAGATAGATAGATAGATAGATAGATAGATAGATAGATAGATAGATAGATAGATAGATAGATAGATAGATAGATAGATAGATAGATAGATAGATAGATAGATAGATAGATAGATAGATAGATAGATAGATAGATAGATAGATAGATAGATAGATAGATAGATAGATAGATAGATAGATAGATAGATAGATAGATAGATAGATAGATAGATAGATAGATAGATAGATAGATAGATAGATAGATAGATAGATAGATAGATAGATAGATAGATAGATAGATAGATAGATAGATAGATAGATAGATAGATAGATAGATAGATAGATAGATAGATAGATAGATAGATAGATAGATAGATAGATAGATAGATAGATAGATAGATAGATAGATAGATAGATAGATAGATAGATAGATAGATAGATAGATAGATAGATAGATAGATAGATAGATAGATAGATAGATAGATAGATAGATAGATAGATAGATAGATAGATAGATAGATAGATAGATAGATAGATAGATAGATAGATAGATAGATAGATAGATAGATAAATAAATAAATAAAGAAATAGGTAGAAGAACTGCAAGAATTGCGATTTGAATTTTAAAAGAGAAGCAACAAGTTTGCTGCAAGTTAAATATTTATCGCTTCAACAATGATACACACTTTAGATTTAAAAAAAAATAGTTATTCTTTTGGGGTTCTATAAGTCGACCTATAACTACAATATTTTTATTGAAAACCGCCACAAAAGATGATAAAAAGGAACATTCGAAAGATGCTTAAAATCTATCCAAAATTTTAAAAATAAACGTTTTTTATAAACATTGTAAGAGAAGTCAATAAGTGAACAAAGTCAGTATTAAAAAAGTCAAAAAGTTAATAATTTAAACTAAAAAACGAAACTTTGTTGATTACATTAAGTCGACTTTTTGTTTCAAATATAGAACTCTAATGCATAATGTTCTATAAATCGACTTAAGAACAATCGACTTTTTTTGAATTGTTAAGTTATTATTGACATTTGACATTGACAAAACATTGTCAAATACATTCGTACATACACACATATGTATGTATGTATGCACATATGTATGCGACTGCTCCTTAAGCTAGATACACGAAAAGACTTAACTACAACAACAACTGCATCAAAACAACAACAATTGCATCAATGTACCTAATAGATATTTTCACAAAATAAAACCAAAACAAATTAATTCCAATTAGATTAGTAACAACCGGATGATCCTTTTCCACCTAAGTACATATGTAAAACACTACCAACAACACTTGACCAGCCTCAACAGTTAACAGAGACAAAAATTTTTTCATTTTCATTTATTAGCTAAATCTACATGTTATTCACAAAAAGTACGCCATCTTACCCTGAAAACTTATTTTAATACTTTTATGTATTTACAAGCAAATAACTCTTGAAATTTTATCACTTTTATAAACTTTAAGATTTAAATTAATTTATTTTATTTTGCACTTTTTATTTAATGAATACCTTTTCTTATAAGGACTGATACTTCCTCGATGTTCTTTCACGCACTGTTTAGAGTAAACTAAAAACTATGCGAATTTAACAAGTTAATTCGCCTTAAATTAAGCTTTTTCTTTAGAGATGTTAGACTATTGTGATTCGACAGTTAATTGCGATCGGATGTGCTAAAGATGTTTGTCGTTATATCTGGCAGTTATTTTCAATTTAAATGCAAATTTAATTATTTCTTCGTTTTAAAATTTGTTTAGGTAGATATTGATGTAGTTATTTCAATAACGTTATCTGTGACCAATAGTTTCAAGTGCCCGGAACTGCTCACCTTTTGGCAGATGGCGTGCAAGCAAAATCAAAGTTATGGGAACACTACTCAAAATCAAATTTTGTTATGGTGGAGATGATAAAAATTGTTATCGATATTATCTGTAAATCAATGTGGCCAAGTTTCAGTAAAAACAACTAATCATAAGTAGGGTTCTATACTAGGGTTCTATAAATCGACTTTCGAATAATCGAACAATCGACTTTTTGTCGAAAAAAGTCGAAAAGTCGAAGTCGAATATTTTGTTCCAAAAAGTCGATAACTCGACTATCGTCCATGAAATAAGTCGAAAAGTCGACTTTGTAAATAAAAGTCGAAAAGTCAAAAAATCGGAAAGTCGAAAAAAGTTGAAAAGTCGAAAAAAGTCGATAAGTTGAAAAAGTCGAAGAAAGTCGAAAAAAGTCGAAACGTCGAAAAAAGTCGAAAAGTCGGAAAAAGTCGGAAAAGTTGAAAAGTCGAAAAGAGTCGAAAATTTTAAAAAAGTGGAAAAGAGGTCAAAAACTCTAAAATAGTCGGAAAAACTCGAAAAAAGTAAAAAAAATAGTCGAAAATAGTCGAAATAAATCGAAAATAGTCAAAAAGTCGAAAAGTCGAAAAAAGTCGAAAAAAGTCGAAAAGTCGGAAAAAGTCGAAAAGTCGGAAAAAGTCGAAAAGTCGACCATTTATAAAATACTAAAAGTCGAAAAGTCTAAAAGTCGACTTTTAAATAAATGAAAAAGGTCGAAAAATCGACTTTTCATAAAATGGAAAAAGTCGAAAGGTCGAAAAGTCGACTTTTAACTAAATGCAAAAAGTCGAAAAGTCGACTTTTCGTTTCAACTACAGAACCCTATTCTATACATGATGTAATAAGAAAATTTTTTGCGTATTTCACAATATTACCTATAAAACCGTCGTTACATTTAAATTGTATTCGCAGCAGGACAACGTCTTATTGGTGGTTCATCTGAATTTCTTCATTTGGAACCCTTTTATCAGCATTTTCATTCATAATTTTTGGTTTGAAATTTTTTCTTTAGAAAACACAAATTTAATTTTTATGTTAGAATAAATAAATAAATTATTTTTGACATAACCCAAGCACTTTTTAAATAAACAAATAAAAATCAGCTGCCTTGACGATTTCACCTTACTTAGTGCATCCTGGTTCTATATAGGTAAAGTCGAAGTGCTATACATCAACACCTGCCATGACGGCCTTATTTCACGATAGTACTTTTACAACTACAGGATGAGCATTTAGACCACTCACAATCGCCCCTTTGTAACATGCAAGGAACACGCTCATGTACTAGAGCTATCTAATCTTTGACCATTGTTGACCCGTTGCGTAACTTCCGAGATGCAAAAACATAATATCCGTTTCATTCATAATTTAGCTCTTTTTATCGTTTAAGGGTAATCTGGCCGTCCTTCTTTTGCTGCCTTCGAGAGTTTTGCGTTTCACTCTCGCATTGGTTTAATGTGTGGCGTCGCATAACTGTACCGCGTTACGATTCTTCGAAGTTTCATGCATTAACCATATGCATTCTTTTTGATGACCTAAAAATTTCTTTGATACATGGTGGAATACCAAACACAACTCGTTTAAGATTTTGGTGGAGACCAGTAAACTCAGGAGCGGAGTTCGGGAGTTCCAGCTTCCTATACGAAGGTATAGGTCCGATTGGCAGTTCTTGGACGAGGCTCTTTTAGGCGAAAGCCGTAATTGGTGAAGGCGTTATGAATATTTCGATGCCAAATAATCCCCCCTTAGTGGTATCATACTGTTGAGAGGGCAACTGAAAATTAAAAACAAACAAAACAAACATAATTTCCGTTTACAAACACCCAGATGGAATGGCTTCTATTGATTCGACAACAGCACCTAGAGAGTAATCGGTAGACCGATAGTAATTTCAAAATTGGGTTTAAATTTATACAAAACAAACTTCAAGAAATAAATTAAAATTTGAGTTTTAATTAGTTTATTAAAGAGTTATTATTTCATTCCGCTGCATTATACTATAAAATGCTAAATAAATAATTTTGAAAGATAAATGTCCTTTCTAAATTAAAGTGAAGCAAACCATTTCCATAACAATCCTCAATATTGGAACATTCTTTATTCTATATCACATTTTTTCTTTTTTGCGGCCAAAGAATTTCTAAGAGATTTTCTTTTATTAACATTTGTGCTCTTGGATTTAAGATCAATACCACCAACATTATCCAAATCTGGTTTTACTTGCTCAACATTATTTAAATTTACCGTTTTATATTTAGCTTCAACACCAATACTATCCAAATCTGTCTTAACGTCCATAACATCGGCTATAATTATTTTAGACTCATCACTTCCAAATTGTGAAGGAATGTCGTTGTCACAATTTTCCTTTTTGATCTCACCTCTTTCCTCATGTCTATCCACGTGGTTTTTAAAATCTTTCCGGCCAATTAATTTGGAACCGCAGATATCACAAGTATATTTCACACGTTCAGCATCGTGTGTTTCCATATGCTTATTTAAAGAAGACTTACTTCTTAATATTTTGTAACATATTAAACATATATGGTCGGGCCATTCATTAGGTGGATGCGTTTGCTTTAAATGTTCTGTTCTTTGGTGTGATGTTGCTAAAACTTCCGGACAAATGGAGCACTTAAATGTGCCTTGGGCAAAGTGTTTTCTACGAAAATGTCCATAGAGTACACCCAAAGAATTGCAACGAGCATAGCATAGATTGCATATGAATGAACGGTAGGGCATATGTGTCAACTTATGTTTTAGGCGTTGGGTTAAAACGGTTGGCAAATTTAGCTTACATGTTAGACATTTCAGCGAACCATTAGAATCTTTAAAGCTCACATTTGATTCATCGAAAAAATCATGTTGAGTGGTAATGTGTGTATGCCAGTCCTTTTGGTTGGATATACCTTCATTACACTCCGGACAGGCAAAGTTAATAAATTCAGCAAACTCATTGAGTACATGAGAATTGAGGTTGGGTTTAGCTAATTGAGGTGCTGTTGCAGTAGGCTGATATTCGGTTACATCTTCTTTATTTGGGCTAAGTTCATCTCTTTCTTTTAATGACCGCACTAAATTTAAAGGTTTGAAATAGTGAACCTTTTGCATATGACCAATACAAGTCCTATGCTTAAAATAGGATAATGTACATAAGGGACATTTAAAGATCTTTTGATCAAAATGTGTGTACACATGTTTCAATAGGTCATGTGCGTCGGTTTGTAAGACTTTCTTTTGGCAAACTATACACGACATCAAATTATCCGCTCCAGAGTCTAGGGAAAAGAATTCCTTAAAATTGTTGTGCTCATCTTGGAAATGTGTGAAAGCTTCATTAGCATCAGTGAATTTTTGGTAGTTACAGAAGGAACATTGTATCTCTACCTCAGCTGGATTGATTATATTTGGTTTTAAAACCTGCTTAATATAATCTCTATCTTCGTCATCATTACAACGTTTCACCACATGATTAACGGCCATTTTAAATGTCGCCAATGTTAGCTTACAGTGACGGCATTTGTAGGGCTTAAATGGTAAATGTTGAAAACGATGAGCATGTAATTGTACCGGATTATTTGCTACCATAGTATGGCAAATGACACAACGCAACTTATTGTTGTCTGCAGTTGCTACCACCTTCATTTCCAAACCTTTAAGGGTATCAATTGCATGAATACTTCTTAGATGTTGTTGCCATTTATGCAATTTATTAAACTCTTCCTTACAAAATGGACAGACATGTGCAATATACTCTTCAAATTCCTCTAAATTTTTGATAATATTCTTTCCTCTGTTACTTTCTCTTACATCTTTATATCGTCTGCCATAATATTGCATCATTTTAGGGCACATGTGCCCATTATGGCCATAACAACTTTTTTTACCACAAAATTTACATGACCAATAGCTTGAACTTTCATGTTCTAGATAATGCTTTAGGAATGTTAGAGTATCATTTTTGGGATACACTCTGTGACATTTTAAACATGCTAAGTATTCCTTATCCTCAAAAATTTTTCGAAAATTCAATACATTCCAGGAGTTTAATTCGTGTTGCAACATTAAATGTTGAAAATACAATTCCTCATCCGAAAAACGTTTATGTGAGCATAGATGGCAATTGTAACGAAATTTCTCCTGATTTTCCTGGGGATGTTTGAACATGAAATGATGCCAAAATTTTACGTATTTATTGTTGGCATAAGTGTTATGACAAATTGGACACTTTAAGCATTTTTTTGCATAACCCGATTTATTAAACTCATCCACAACTTCGGGATGCAGTTCTACGAAATGCATTTTAATACGTTTTGTTATTATATGACTGCATATTTTGCACTTTTTCTCCGTCAATTCTTCAGTATTTTCACGGTGTCTAAATGTATGTTTATACATGATAAAATCATTATGATATTCTCGTTGGCATTTCTTACACGTACCGGTCTGCTTATTCATATTATAATAATCTTTTTGAACTTTTTTAATAGCATCTCCATGATTTAGTTCTATATGTACGCGCAGCTCTTTATAGGTCGCAATTTGTTCATTACATTCTGGACAGGTATGGTGAACATAAGTTTTAAATAGCCAATATTTTAATGGAAATAAAATATTCGTCTTAGACCCATTGTCTTCTAAAACGATGTGCTTTTTATCCATATCTTCAGCGTATAGCTCCAATTGCAAATTATATTCTGTATTAATATTACCCTCATTATCGGATTCATCAACTTCTTCATCCTCATTATCGGTATCATCCTCACCAATATCTTCATTTGGATCATAAAAATCATCCTGCTCATTCTCCTGGTCTTCCTCCCCTCGTTATCTTCATCATAATCTTCGTTTTCATCTAAATATTCAATTGCATAATGTTCATTGGAGGACTCATTTTTAATATAATCATGGGAGTTAGTATCTTCCCCAAATTCCTGACAATATTCTTCATAATAATTATTTTGTTCATCTTCTAATTTTATTGGCAACCATTGAACATCACTTTCAATTATAAGCTCCGATTCTTCTTCCTTTATTTTGTTAAGCATTATATTGGATTCATCATATTCATCTTCAATATTATTTGCTTCTATCTTTATGTTAATATCCATATTTGTAACAGCTTCAGTTTCCGAAATTTCTTTCCTGGAAGAAAATTATTCGTCGTGTTTATGTCAATGTATATATACATTTGTATGTGTATAACTTACCTCTCCTTTTAGTAGGTTACATGCAAAGAAAAATGGACAAAGTTGAGGAACGCTACTCCAAATCAAACAAAAGTTTGCAAAGCATTTTTCCTACAGTACAACAAAATAAACACCTTTTTAGGGATAGTATTTATATTTGTTAATATAATATTAGTTATCGATATCATATGTAAATCAGTGTTGCCAATTTGCAATAAAAAGAATAATTTATCTTGCTCTGACGGGAAGTTGAATAATGCCATGTTTTCACGAATATACGTTTCCACGGCACATTCAAAATTCATTTTGACATGCTGTTTTCTTCTTTGTGTCTATTCAGCTATGTATGTCCGTCTATGTGTCCATGTAAACCTTGTGTGCATGCTACCGGTCGCAATTTTCAAGATAATTTTATATACTTCTCTTAACCGAAGGACGAAAATGTTTGAAACCGGTCTATTTTTTCACCTAGACCCCATACAACCGTAAACATTAAACTTTTAACATAAACAGTCAAAAAATATAACTAAAAAAAGTCGAAAAGTCGACTTTATGATTTAACATTGATCATGTATATTATTATAAATCACAACCCAATCGATTAATTTATTTAAAAGGGGGAATTAAAATTGAGTTCTTGAGATCTTTAGTTCAATATAAAAATTAAAAATTTACTGAACTGTAGAGGAGATCGTTCAACAAATTTATTTATTTATAAACAAACAATAATAGCGTCCTGATAAACATATCAAAATATTTTATTTACGTTTTTAAACAAAATCGACATCTAAACTCATTGCAAATAACAAAAATAAGAAAAAAATTGTTTAATGTTTGTGCGAATAAAAATTACCCCATTTTAGAAGGTAATTTTTATGAAAATAATTACATTACACAATATTTTGACAATTAGTTATCGATTTATTTAGTCGAGTCTCTCATCTCTAAGAAAAATAAACAAATTCTCTAAAGTATTATTTTGCTTGTTTAAGAAAAAATACATTTTTTTACCGAAAAAATATGGATTATAATGGTGGCTGCAGTAAGAAAATGTATTCGGATGATACTATAATACCTGATGAGATAATGATGGCAATTAAAACGGAACCAGAAGTTCTGATTGAACATGAACCTGCGGGTAAATTATATGTATTTGCAATTATGGACAAAAACACCCTAGAGAAAAGTCGTACCTTTTCATTTTTAGCAAATTTGAGTTCCAAACAGTAATATAAATATAAAATAAGGCATAATATGTTAAAAAATGAAAAATGTATATTGTAATTAGCTATTTGTTGAGTTTAACTTTTATATTAAAAAAAAAAAAACAAACTAAAATATTCGACAGACATGTAGCTCCTGGGTTATTATCTAGTCAAATTGATTAGCACTAACTCAAGATGCGTAATGACACAAACGGTGTACCTCTATGGTAAAACTAGGAAACAGGTTTTACAATATGTATTTGTAAAACCAATTTCTCCCAAATATCTTTCTCTGATCTTTAGTACACATATTACAGTAAATAAGGCTATACTATATTACCGTGTACTCTATTGACTAGCCTATAGTCTGAACTTAGCTAGTACATTCCATAGCTAGCTAATAGTTCGGACTAGGGGCTAAACTATAGTTCAGTACGTAGCAAAAATGCAATTGAGACTATAGGCTAGACGCTGGTTCAGGCGAAAGGAGAGGCTATGGTTCAGTCTATAAGCTAAATTTAAGTTCAGTATATAGGCGATACCTTAGTTCAGACTATAGACATTATTATAATTCAGACTATACCATATAGTTTAGACTTTATATTAAACTATAATTAACACTATAGAGAAGACTTCAATTTGGTCTACATATAGCATATACTTTAGACTTTATATTAATCTATAATTTACACAATAGACACGACTAAGATTAAACTATAGTTTAGAGTATAGACTTGACTATAAGTCAAAATATATATTAAACTACAGTTGAAACTGTAGACAAGAATCAGAAGTTCATGTGTAGTGGACTAGTTTTTAGATTATATTACAGTCCATACTAAAGGCTAGAGCACAGTCAAGACTAAAGTCTAGTTTCTACTTATTACATTTTGGCTCAGACTATAGTTTTAACAATAGTTCAGACTACTATAGTTCATACTATAGACTTGAGCATAGTCCAGACTGTAATATATACTAAACCATATTTTAGACTATTGCCCATGTAGTTTAGAATTTAGATAATGACAATATTAAAAGTATTATAGGGTACAGTCATATCCAATTATGCTGACGATAGACCCATTTCTTTGCCAAATTATGGCAATTATTTATCAGTTTCTTAAAATTTATATATTTAATTTTATTCTAGATCTAGCAACATGCGAGAAAAAACTTGATGCTCTTAGAGGTAAGCTAATTTTGACTATTATTATTTATTTTATATATAATTAATAATTTTTTTACTTATAGGTGTTATGGAATACAGGCTAGACCAAATACAAAGTGAGAATAACATCAGTTGAATAATACAAACTTTTCATTAATAGCAATTTATTATTTAGCACAATTGAATATGGTATTAGAAGCACAAGAGGAAGCTAATGCTTTATTACGCAATTTCATAACAAGTAATCAGGATTTGCGTTGCAAGTTTCCATTAAAAACGTCGAAAAAGCTAAGGGAACTTAATTCAGAGATAACACCGGAAAATAGAAACACTTATGTAAGTTTTAATATGCCTACATAAATAATAGTGTTTAACATAAATATTTCTTATTTTATAATTTCTAGATTAACACCATAAAGACCCTACTCAAGCCACAAGGAGTTATAAAAAATCTTAAATACATATTATCTACAGATATAACTAATGAATATAATGTAGAGGGTGTGCATGGCAAACAATGTCTAAAAGATTTTAAATAACTTTTATGAAGTGCTTATTGGTAAGAGAATTATCTATGTATATGTAGATGTTATTAGTTGTACATATATGTAATATTTTTTTTCAGATTCCATTGAAGTAACAGCCACCTCAGGAACTGCAGATCAACAACTACGCAAGGCCATAAGCTTAGCCAAGAAACGATATTTTAAAAGCAAGAGTATTGCAAGACCCCGTGCATCTGCTAGTGACAATTAACGTTTTTAGTTTTAAATTTTAATATTTAATAAAGTATGTATACATAAATGAAATAATATTTATTATTTTATTTAAATTTTCGAGTTTTTTTAATAACTATTATTAATTTTTATAATTTAAATAAACTTAATTTGGTTTTAAATTATTTATTATTCTTCAAAAAATTGGCTTTCAATAAAATATATAAAAAAAACTTGAAAAATACAATCCATAGTAGTTTTGATTAGCTAATCTACAGTTTTTCAATATATAAAAATCTAATTTTGATAGAGAACCGACTTAATTACAGCTTTTGATTTGTTGTTGTTTGTTAAAGAAACGAGTGCCAACAGTGTTTGGTTTCCACATAAACATCAATTTCGTTTATTTTCTCCGAATCAAGGAATTACAAAAACAGTTTTTTAACATAAAAATTGATTTTAGATTTAAAATTTAAGTAAACCAGTTTTCTCGTTATAATCACTTGTTAGTTTTCAATTTGCTTAAATGTTTGCTGGGTTCTACAGCAAAAATATAAACAATAGTTATCGCTTATGTTATCGTCTCTCATTGGATATCATACCTAAACAAACTGTCATCTCTATCAAATAATACTAAACAATTTGTTTTCGATTGTGTTGTGCGTTCAAATCACAGAATAAGAATATATTTTTATTAATTAATTAATATAATCTATGAAATTTATTACATAAAATATGGAAAGTGATGAAAACAATACAATAATGAGAATGCAACAGTTACGGTTAAGCCAGAACCAGAAGTTTTATATGAAGCACATGATGGTCTCAACTGTAGTTCAGGTATTTATTTTGTGGGATTTTATTTGCAAAATATTAAAATTATTTCATAGTTTTTGTGATTATTTTAAATGAATTATATTTAATTTTTATGCGACAATAAATTATTGTTATATTTTATAAAATTATGCATTTTAATAACGATGCTCCCACTTCCCGCTTTTATGTGTGTCAGGCGGGTGCATTACACCGTCTTCCGGCCGTACTCAATTTATAATGCAACTATGCTAAATATGAGTGATCACTTCAATTTTACAAAGAAAAATAGATTTTTTTTAATTGTGTTTTAAAGAATGTAAATTATATTAATTAAACTATATATTTCATCTTTTTTATGAAATGTTCCACATTAGAAATCTTGGATGAAGAATACGATTCAAGCCACAATGTAAATAAAAGGTTGGTTTTTATATATTCCTTTAAAAATAAATTTATTTTTAATGACTACTGTTATTTTATTTAGCCAACGTCGTCGTAGCAGAAGAACCCGTACCAAAAACGTACGCTACAGATCAGAAGAAGACAATCCTCTTGCAGTATCACCTGAAAGTATACGACATAATGGACAAATACCGACAAAGATTATATAATACAAGAGCCATCATCTTCTACCTCTAGAAGAGGAACATGTTTTAAAAATTTGAATGAAAGTGAACGAAATAATACCATGGATACTATTTTAATGGAAATTGGACTTTATGATGAATTGCATGATTTTATGACAGGTTTTAATAATAACAAATAATATTCAGAAAAAGTCTTTAACGTATTCCGTCCTTTTTAGCCAGTGGTATTACTGGGGAAGCATTGAAATATATGCAAATACGTCATATTGATGAATTATTTAAAGATACCAATCGCTTGGGGACAAAAATCATTTTTGAACACCGTTTAAAAGAATGGCAAAATAAATATGCAAATTGTGAAGTGTCCACAACACAAACGATGAGTGGTGGCGACAAAGTAAATAATCGGGTAGAGACAAAGTTGGTAAGTTTTCGCAAAAAAAAAGTTTTTTTAAATTATATATATTCTGAACTATAGAATAGTCAATATTCTGGACCATTTGGGACAATAGAAAAGCTGTATTTGGGACTATTGAGTAGTCTATAGTTGGTACTATAGAATAGTCTATAATCTGGACTATAGAATAGTCTATAGTCTGGAATAAGAATAGTCTATAGTCTGGACTATAGAATAGTCTAAAGTCTGGACTAAAGAATAGTCTATAGTTTGGACTATAGAATAGTCTATAGTCTGGACTATAGACTAGTCTATAGCCTGGACTATAGAATAGTCTATAGTCTGGACTATAGAATAGTCTATAGTCTGGACTATAGAATAGTATATAGTCTGGACTATAGAATAGTCTATAGTCTGGACTATAGAACTAGTCTATAGTCTGGACTATAGAATGGTCTATAGTCTGGACTATAGAATAGTCTATAGTCTTGAACTATAGAATAGTCTGTAGTCTGGACTATAGAATAGTCTATAGTCTGGACTATAGAATAGTCTATAGTCTGGACTATAGAATAGTCTATAGTCTGGACTATAGAATAGTCTATAGTCTGGACTATAGAATAGTCTATAGTCTGGGACTATAGAATAGTCTATAGTCTGGACTATAGAATAGTTCTATAGTCTGGACTATAGAATAGTCTAGTCTGGACTATAGAATAGTCTATAGTCTGGACTATAGAATAGTCTATAGTTGGACTGAAATCGTCTATAGTCTGGACTATAGAATTAGTCTATAGTCGGACTATAGAAAGTCTATAGTCTGGACATAGAATAGTCTATAGTCTGGACTATAGAATAGTATCGTCTGGACTATAGAATAGTATAGTCTGGACTATAGAATAGCTTCTATAGTCTGGACTCTAGAATGGTCTATAGTCTGGACTATAGAATGGTCTATAGTCCGGACCTAGAATGGTCTATAGTCTGGACTATAGAATGGTCTATAGTCCGGACCATAGAATGGTCTATAGTCTGGACCCTAGACTATAGAATAGTCTACATTCTGAAACTACAGTCTGAATTATAGAATATTCTATAGTTCGGTACTATAGAATAGTCCTGTAGTCTTAACTATAGAATGGTCTAAAGGCCCATTCTATATAGATATGCCTGGACAATCCCCTGATGTTTCAGTTTTAATTTTATTTAATTGTTATTTTTACATTTTTCAAAAACAGCCTCAGTTCCACTCCACCTTAAATGGAATGCTGCCTGAAACCGAAATTAATAATTTATCGACTGTAAGTAACATTTAAAATAATAGAAACTATTAAATTTGTATAACTATTGGAATTAATTTATTTACTTAGCTTTTAACAAATGCTGTACAACAACCATAAACACAGAGTACTACAGGATTTTAAAAAATCTGGTCAAAAGCAAACCTAATAAGGTAAGATGATTGAAATTTACAGCTAAAGTTATTAAAAAACATTGCTCCTTTTAGACTAACAAAACTCCGATGGCCATCAATAGAGAAATGCTTAATCCAAGAATAACATTAAAGAAATCAAAATTGAACCTGTTGAGGAGGAAACTATTTTACCTGATAACCCGCCTAAAAGTTTGATTAAACTTCTAACAAGGTAACATTTAAATGCAAGACAATTAAAATTTCTACAGCTAAATAAAACGTTTTAATTATTTCTTTAATTCAGCTGATTAGAGTCTCAGATGATGTTTTACTTTCAAATCAATCGGTTGATATAACTGTATCACCTCAGCCAAAACGAAGAAAAGTGGTATGAAATAATATTATTAACATTTTTAATTGAATTTATGGATTTCTATTTTTAATTCTGCAGGATTTAGATATAAGTGTTAAAGAAATTTTAACTTCTACTCCAGCCGTAGAAAATATATTACATGAATATGCCAGGACTGAGCTGTTAACACCTGAACAAAGCGAAGCTATTGTGCGTTCTGTTGTTGACTTTTATGTACGCAATAAACTGATTATGACTATATCACGATGTAAAGAAATTGCCGAAGAAATATTACAACTATTTCCCACGGAATGTTTGGTATGTTCCCAAAATAATTTTCTAATCTAACTTAAAATTTACCCAAAAATTTATTTGTTTCTTTAAGGATTTTTATTTTATACAAGATAATAAAACTAGATCGCCAAAAGGTAAAATTTGGGAATATTTTCAAGAATGTAAACGTTCAGTACGCAAAGCTCAGACCTTTAAGTCTAGACAGGAAATATTGAAAAATGATTGTTCTATAAGTGATGATGAGGAAGTTTCAAATAAAAGTGAAGATTGGTCTGATATGCAAGCGATATGTTCCCGAATGAAACATATTAACGATGAAAAAGAATTATTTGAAAAATGGAAAGAATCATTTGCTTTTAGACGTCATCAATTGCAGACTGGTTGGTTTAGCAATTGGAAGTTATATTTCGATGAATATCCATTTTGTAAACAACAAAATTATGCAGAATTCGTAAGTATTTAATATTACTGTTACATAGGTTTAATATTTCCTACTTCATTTTATCTATTTCAGATTGAATCTGATTTACAAATGCTTTATCCTAAACTAAAGTTTAGTGACTTTTTATGGAATGAATTTATGGAAAAATTCCCTAAATTCTTCTTGAATCGTATAAAACATGTTAAATCAAAACAATTATTAGATCAACTAATTGCTATGGAAAATATGTCTTCTTATAAGGGTAATTATCTGAAACATATAGACTACATATCTAAGTACATACATTAATTGCTATCTTTTATTTTACAGATTATGTTGCCATTAAAGTTTTCGACATTTTACACGCCATTCTAAATACCTATAATAACAAATCACAAAGTATAGAAGAAGCCCAACGCAAGTTTTCCGTTGAAGTAGCCGATCTATCCGATCTTAAGAAAGTCGTTATAGAACGCAAAAGATATTGTACCGATAATAATATACAAGCTAAACCCTATATAGCTGTTGTGGGTAAAAATAAAACCTATAGTAATTTTTCGGTTATTTTGGATTCAACTGGTTTTAGTTGTGATAATTATAAGGATTCTTTGATTTTATGTTTTAATTTATATCTCTTCTTTGAAATAAGTTTTCCCCTAGAATCTTTAAATGTTTGGACATTTATACAGAAATATTTCTTTAATAAACCACCCTTAGTTAGTAATCAAAGAGTTGATAGTTTTATCAATGAAATAAAGGAGAAAAAAAGAAATACATCTATTGATAACTGACTTAGGCGTCGTTTACGGTATAATAAGTAAACTTAATTATAAGTTGTAAGATATAATAAACACTAATGAATAAAGTTTTTTTTTTATTGATTTTAATAAATTGGTATTTACAAAAGAATGATAAATTTATTTTTTTAATATTTAACAATATAAATGTGAATATTTAGATATTTTTATTTAAATTTTTATAGAATAGTCTATAGTCTGGACTATAGAATAGTCTATAGTCTGGACTATAGAATAGTCTATAGTCTGGACTATAGAATAGTCTTTAATCTGGACTATAGAATAGTCTTTAATCTGGACTATAGAATAGTCTATAGTCTGGACTATAGAATAGTCTATAGTCTGGACTATAGAATAGTCTATAGTCTGGACTATAGAATAGTCTATAGTCTGGACTATAGAATAGTCTATAGTCTGGACTATAGAATAGTCTATAGTCTGGACTATAGAATAGTCTATAGTCTGGACTATAGAATAGTCTATAGTCTGGACTATAGAATAGTCTTTAATCTGGACTATAGAATAGTCTATAGTCTGGACTATAGAATAGTCTATAGTCTGGACTATAGAATAGTCTATAGTCTGGACTATAGAATAGTCTATAGTCTGGACTATAGAATAGTCTATAGTCTGGACTATAGAATAGTCTATAGTCTGGACTATAGAATAGTCTATAGTCTGGACTATAGAATAGTCTATAGTCTGGACTATAGAATAGTCTATAGTCTGGACTATAGAATAGTCTATAGTCTGGACTATAGAATAGTCTATAGTCTGGACTATAGAATAGTCTATAGTCTGGACTATAGAATAGTCTATAGTCTGGACTATAGAATAGTCTAAAGTCTCGACTATAGAATAGTATATAAAAAACAAGATACAGGTTCGTTCATTCAAGAAGTTAACGGCTGAAAACAACAGCATGTACCATATGTTTCTATTCCGGGATGTGAACAATATATGAATAGTGAAATATTCGCGTTTAATTTGATCCTGACATCTTTGTTATCGAATTATGTTTTTAAAATAAAAGATTTTGCTAAATTTCACAAAAAATATGTTACAATTTATTTTACCATAAAAACAATGAAAAGATGAATGATAATTAATATTCATCACAGACGAATTTAGAACAATTCACTTGTTTTTTTAACTATTCTATAAATGTGAAATTTCAACATAGGCTTAAAAAAAAAATTAAAATAAACATTTAATTATGAGCAGATATTTTTTTTTAAATGTTTACACATAATAAAAGAGCCTGCCTTTCCTGCCTAAATTCCAATAATTGTTAATTTTGTTTTTCTTAAGAAACATAAATATATATTAAAAAAAAAAGAAAACATTTCCTTATAATAATATTATCTTTACTGTTTCAAAGAGCCAATGGCATTTTGAAACATTTGCGTTAAGAGTAAAGTATTTAAAGCATTTGCTGAAGTATTAGGATTATTTACGTTGGGAGCAGTAACATTTAAATTAGGTAAACCATTTAAAACCAGCGGCAGATTAAGTGGATTCGTTGAAAAGTTTCGTTTTTTTTAAATGGTGTCTTTAAAGCATTTTTACTTTTCATTTTGAGTTTCTTCTTGGAAGAAACTAAACTTCCTGCCGCTGAGTCTGAAGAGTCTTCTTCTTGGGATTCTGTTGTTGACTCTGAATCAGAATTGTCGTCTGTATCGTCGTCACTACTATCATCACTATTGTTTTTAGAGCTCTTCTTCTTTGAAACGGATACTTTACGTTTTTTTGACGCTTTCATTTTTGTATTGAATTCATTAGCCTTTGTTTGCTTACGTTTTAGCTTATTGGATTTGTTACTTGATGGGTGAGCTGTATCGATCTGTGGCACAGGTACACTTTCGCTCAAGTTGATGGGAATTTGTTTTTCAGCACTAAAACTTTGTAACTGTTGCATACAAAATTCCATAAACAATTGCATCATTGTACTTAAATTGGCTGGTTTTGGGCAGGTGCGATAGCCGTGATAGGGTGCAGAGCAATTTTTGCAAATCATTTGACATTGAAAGGATGTGTGACCCTGCAAGTGGAAAATGTT